TTCGCACTCGTCGGGCTCGAGTGCGCGTCGCCTCCGGGGGCCCTAGCCTTTATTCGAGATTCGTTATGAGACATGTCTACATTGGTTTGATGCGACGGGGTGTTTCTTAGCCGGATAATCTTACATGGAGCACTAACCATTTGGCTAACTCTGCTCGATGAAATGTTGCTATCAGTGTTATCTCTAATGTCAAAACAGAAAAAGTACACTATCAGAATAGATAAAGCGATAGAGTATCTGACAAGAACTGAGACCTGTTACCCGGGTGAAAGCCAAGAATGATAGCTATATTGATCACACTGTGTTTAAGTTCTCACTTAGTGGTTATGCAGGATATGTGTTTGCAACATTTCCGAAAATCCCAAAAATCAGTTTTGCAAACTAGCGAGAAAGTTTCCTTACAATTGAAAAAGTCGCAGTTGAAGGTTCGCAATCTGGATTGGGTGCCGCCCCCACCACAAAAATGGTCCAAAATGGAGATTGAAAGGGACGTGAAACGTTATTGGGAACTGGAATGGTCAAAAAGCAAATATCTAAGAGAATGCGCGGATCACGTGCTCCAGATAAGTTTTTCAAACTCGTCTTAATATATACATGTCAAGCTTTTCAAATTGTCTCACTACTCTGTACAAATATTTAGATAGTACCAGTTTATTTCTGGCCTGGAGAACGGGTCGACCTACCCTGCTACATGTGCGAGTTGGCCATGGCTTACGATGGGAAGGTAAAGTACTGGGCTATGGCAGAAGATATGATAGAATTTCTCGCAGCTCCGCAGGTCTCTAGACTTTCAACTTTTTCGATTTATAACGATTCTATCTAAAAATGCGCTCTTTAAAAAGAATTTGCAGCTGAACATTGTAACGAAAAAAACTCTTTATGACATAGTGGAAAATGATGTCAAGAAATATCACAGGTACATTTCAACGTCGGCTGCAAAAAAAAACAGATAAGATGTTTTCAGTAAAAGCAACGATGTTCCTACATATAAAATGGTCAACCTTGCGATAAAGAATAGAAATGAAAGAATTGAAATGGTTGCGCCGATGTTTCTGCAAAGAAATGGCAAGCTTTCGATACTCAATGTGCGTCAGATATTTCCATTTGCATTGTATCACAAATAATCATTCAGGCTGGTATCACTTCACAAGGAGTATACTTTTGTTATGATGAGCAATCGCTAGGAATTACAAATGTTTTCTATGTTTTGCTCGCAATGGTACCACCAGTTTCAATCGTAGACAGCAAAATACCAGAAGAAATAGGTGTTACATATGGTTGGTTGGCATATGATAGAAGTCATTAAGATCCTAGGAATAATTAATTTAAGGGGAAGGATGTGGTGAAGCTGCTACGCACATCATGCCCTCATTCAACTGGCGATTTCG